TCGAAGCGATATCCCAATTCGTCGGTCACGACGTGACTCGTAGTGACCGACTGAAAGGGAACAAATCCATCATGGCGATTCAACTTTAAACCATAATAGCTGGCCAAAATATAAGTCCATAATCCATAATAATGCTTCCTCCACATATTTGTTCCGTAATGCTACATTTCACCCCATGAAGAAACAAACTCATCTACATCTTGGATGGCCTGAGGATGACAAAATTTCAGCAAACTTTCATTTTTGGTGAACCATTCCTTTAGTGGGTTTGACCCCATATATAGTGAATGGTTTGTCACTATAATTATACTACAAAAGAAATGAGTAACATTTTACTCGAAGCCTTTATGTATAATGCATTATATCTTCTCATAAATAAGATATAAAGTCAAAATGAATTAACATCTGCAGATTCCTTGGTTGTTTGTCCCGTGTTTGAAAGCGTTATACTTTCTGAAAGGTGTAACAATGAATAGAACAGTATTATGAAGTATTATAACTGAGGTTACAATTATTCATGAGATCAGTGCATTATAAAGTGCATAATTAATGCATTCAAAGTATGTTTATAATGCATTATATATAACTGTTACCAAGAAATGCTCCAGGCTCAATTAAGTACCCATGGCTGCATTTGCAGGGCATATCATGTGAAAGTTCCCACGTGCACATATAGATACCCTATGTGCGTACTAAAGTTTAAAATGTTTTGATGCTTGAATGGACAGTCTTGTCAATCTCCTAAATTGTATGTCATCACAACACGCTCAATTCATGAGCCACGCATGACCAGTGACTCCGGATATTCATGTACTCCTGCGGAGAGACAGTGTCGGATCGTTTCAGTGTGGACGCCATCGATTTTCTGGAGCTCAAACTGAACATCATGATGTGTAGAGCATGTAGAGTAAAAGCTGCAGATTCCCTGTCACATACTTCACCACTCCATGCGTCTTAAAAAACAGTCAATAAACATCTGATGAGTAAGTGTTTTCTCGGGATAGATTATTGATGGAGTCTGTCTGCATTAGGTTTGGATCCTGTCAAACCGGCACACCCTCTCATCCCGAGTCTTATTATAGCATTAGACGCATCCTATCAGTGGTTACGGTCTCGTTTCAATAAGGTTTGACTGATGAATGTAGAATAGGAATTAACCCAGAGGGTCAAGCCTGTTATATTAATGCAATTACTACCGATAAAGAACTTAATAAGTCATGTTTATATTAGAGCCCGACCGATATATCGTTTTGCCGATATTATCGGCCGATATGAGCCTGTCGCCGATATACATTGGTATCGGCGAATATGCCGCCGATATGAAAATTTTTTTACGGAACATATAACGCAGATAAAATGCTTGAAATGGTGTAATTACTTAGTTTGTCCAGCAGAGCGTGCTCCATTGTTTGCTACTGGCGACCTGGATGAAACGCTTTAAAACTTAGTCTATGGAAAACCATTGAAACTTTGAACGGCCATATCTCCGTAACGGCGTGGCGAATCCGCACCAAATTCGGGGGATCCCTTCAGCTCGAAGAACCCTCTCGAACGCGAATCGAGTGTACGTCTAGAGGCCCGCTTTCGATTGAGACCATCACCGCGTCGATAGCCCCCGGGGTTCGGGAGTTATGGGTGGTTAAATTCGCGGTCCGGCGCCGACCAATCAAGCGTTTTATATTATAAAATATATATACAATTTATATTGTATTTATTTACAGAGGTATATTATGTCACACTTCACACTTCTCTAGTAAGTTTCGTCTGTGTGTGAAGACAGTAGCGCAAATCCGTGAATGAATGTTCAGATGTGAAATAAACTTTAAGGAATAAAGTTGAATGGAATTTAATTGAATTAAAGTTGAATAAACTTCAACTTTACTGGATCCCTGCCGATTATTATTATTATATTATTTGCTTAACCACTTTTAAATGGCTTTTTGGTTGATTTTAGTCAGAAAACGTAAAGAAAATGACATACATACAGCAAGATAATATAATTTCACTTAACGTACCTGGCCTATCACTTGAAGCAAACATCCATCCCTTCTTAAAAGTCTGTGTTAAAAGAGAGCTGCCTGTTGCGCCATTTAATTAAGCCGACTGCTGTAGCCTATATCCAGCTTAGGCTGTTTTCCCTAAATTTGTATATATACTGTTTGAATGACAGCTTGGTAAATCTGTTGGCAATCAAATATTCAATATCGCTACTCATCATAAGTACTTGGTACATTATCAGCGCAGCGGCAGACGTTCAAACTAATATCACGTAATTTACGTCTCTTTGATGAGTGGTTTATATCAGAAGGGAGGCTAGCCTCCCTTGCGAGGGTTCTTTTCCCAACACTCCTCAGCGCTGAAAGTGAACACTCGATGGTGATTGGCTAATGTTTTTTACCAACGGAGGCACGAGAGTTCAGCGCTTGCTCGGCCTCCCCCTACCCTTCTCTATCACCTAGCGGTTGTAATTACATCAGCAGATTCGGCACATTCGCGATAGAAAAGCGGCACTTTCGCGTTATGATATTACAACTGTGAAATTACAAACAAAAAATACACATTCTGAGACATGAACTGAAATGAATTGTGAATTTTATTAACATTAAATCGTCCTCCTCCCATTTTCATCTCAAAATTATGGGGAAGCTGTGCCTCCCCTGCCTCCCCCGACGAGCCGCCACTGCTGTACTATAATATACACAAAGAATATCAGCCGATATATCGATATCGGCCTTTTTTTACTCCCTAATATCGGTATCGGCCCCAAAAAACCCATATCGGTCGGGCTGTAGTTTACAACCCCAGCGCTCTCTAAAACCCAAAGAACCACAACACTCACGTGCCAAACAATTACGCTTTCTTGTTTTATACATTCTCAGAATAAAAGGTACAAAATCTGTCTATACTCTTTCAAAATGCAATACCATTTAGGTACTAATATGTACATTTTAGGTATTGATATGCATCTTTTAGAGGTAAATAAGGTACTTTTTAAAAAAAAAGGTACCGCCCCAGTGATAGCTTTCGTACCTTGTTTTCTGAGTATGTAGATACTATTTGCACTTGAATGTGGTATAAATTAGTGTTATTTTTGTATTATACTATTTGTTCATATTTAGATTAGCTTTTATTTTCAGTTTTCATTTTAATTATGATACTTTTAGTAGTTTTGGTATTTCTATGTGCTTTTTTATTATTTATTTTTGTCTTTAGCTTTAAGTTATTTTTTTATTTCAGTTTAGATTGAATCATTTTCATCTTCAGCTTATTTCAGTTTAAACCATGCCATGTCAACATTTCTAATTTTTTCTTTTTAAGTTTAAGTTTGTCATCCAAAATGTAAAAAAAGTTTGATTTTATTTCAACTAACAAAAATGTAACAACATTTTTTAAAATAATTTTAGCTAGCAAAAAAAAACAAACAAACAAAAAAAAAACTGGTACAATTTGGGGTTTCATAAATTTGATTTATTTATTTTGAAGCAAGGAAGCCACAAATCTCACATTTGTTGAACAGCTTTAAGCTATAATATATAATACAACAGGAAAAGTAGCTAGTTGTAAATGTATCAATTTTGATGCATATATATTAAAAAAAGTATTTTTAGAAGAAAAGCAAGCGTGAAAGTCCACTCCTATACCATGGTGAAAGCAAACTGTACAAAAATTTATGAATGAAATCATACAAATTAACAACCAATTCACCATGAGAGTTTGAAACGTTTTTTTTTTTTTACCTTTTCTAATATATATATATTTTTAGGCCTGTGCTTCTTTACCATGTTAAACAATTTTGGTATCGTTATCCTTTTTAACAATGGAACATCTAGGCATCAAGGAAGTCAATCCGTTTCCTCAGTTTCTATAAAAAAGGTGAATCATTTTAGAACCTTTGACAGTTATTTTTTTTCAACATGTAAAGTTTATTTCTAGAAAATAATTATTGTTATTATTAAACATTTTTAATGTTGTAACAGTATTCAGGCATGCCCTCAAAATTGCTACCCTCATATAAACAATCATAAAAACAGCTCATAATATTTAGTTTGACCTCTCAAGCTCTTTTCCTAAAGTTACTTCCTTTCACAAGATTGTTTTATGCATTTTTTCGAAGTATCGCACTCTATTTTGCATCATATCTGTGGAAAGCTCCTATCAAATGCTTTAGATTTACATACACATCAGTAACATGCAGGGTATGCCGAATTATGTATTCCTGACGAGTTTTGCACGTATGTTAATACGTCACAGCACAAACTCAAACTCGGACCAGATCCAGGAGCAGCTCTTCACACCTAAAACTAGAAGAAAGCACTAAATGTCCCTCTCTGCCCTCCACAGGAAGCTGCACCAGCAGTTTGAGATGTACAAGGACCAGGTGAAGAAGATCGGAGAGGAGGCTCCGAAGAACCCGGAGCAGAAGGGAGACTCGCCCACCTGTGGGATCTGCCACAAAACCAAGTTTGCCGATGGCTGCGGCCACGTCTGTTCTTATTGCCAAACCAAGTTCTGCGCGCGCTGTGGAGGACGCGTCTCCCTCCGCTCCAACAAAGTACGTCTGACTCCTCTCTCTCACCGTAGAGTCTGTAGACACGTTGTATAGAAACCCCTTCACCACTGTGTCTGTACTGTACAGTATGACGGATTTCTACATCTTTCATGTTGTATCTGAATTTGGTGGTTTTTGATTACACAGGAAGTTAACCGTTTCACCTCATGACTACAAGAGGGTGCTGAAAATATTCCAATATCTAGTGAAGGGCTGTCCAAACTCGGTCCTGGAGGGCCGGTGTCCTGCAGAGTTGCATAGAAACTTCCAGTCAGGTGTGTTGAGGCAAGTTGGAGCTAAACTCTGCAGGACACCGGCCCTCCAGGACCGAGTTTGGACAGCTCTGATCTAGTGTCTCCATAACTGCAGCTGCTGTCTTTCTAATGGCCTCCTCAGCTCTTGATCTGAGGACAGAAGACTATGACAGTGCTGGGTAGTTGTAGTCCATTACTGATTACATATTACATGACAAAAATTGTAGTCAGTTGCATAATCCATTATATTTAGGGGTGCACATAAGTTCTTCAGCCTGGTTCTCATAAAAGAGAACCTGGAGATTTGGTTTGGTCCTCACACTGCGCATAGATAATACTGTTGCACTTTATTTTATTTTTTTTATTTTTTATAAAATAACTAAATAATAAAGTGTGATAATACTGTTATGTTTTAAAATAAAAAGGGAGTATTAAATACAAATACAACTATTTTATATTAAACTTAAAAATAAAATGCTAATATTTACTTCTTTTTTTAAAAGATGAATTTTCATTATTTTCAAACTTAAAATCAGCAGGCTTTTATTTTGGCGGGTTGCCGGCAAGTAAGTATATGCGCTTCCGGGTTTAGCGACTGAAGCACAGCACATCAATAAATGAAATGTCACAGTTTTGCATTGCATTTGCATTTTGCATATACTTACTGAATTTATCTATTCAGTTTGAATAGAAATCTTATACAGTATTACAGTTTGTCGATCTAAAATGGTAATTGGTCAGCTGTCAACCATGTCGGTACGCCAATGTGCTGTCAGAACTTATTTACACAGCGCATTTTGGTCACGCATGCGCACCTGCGTACCACTTATGTGCACCCCTGTATATTACATATTTTAGGCAATATATATATACATCATCTGAAAGCTGAATAAATAAGCTTTTCATCGATGTATGGTTTGTTATGACAATATTTGGCCGAGATACAACTATTTGAAAATCTTGAATCTGAGAGTGCAAAAAAAATCACAATATTGAGAAAATCGCCTTTAATGTTGTCCAAATGAAGTTCTTAGCGATGCATATTACTAATCAATTAAGTTTGAATATATTTACAGTAGGAAATTTACAAAATATCTTTATGGAACATGATCTTTACTTAATGTCCTAATGATTTTTGGCATAAAAGAAAAATCAGTAATTTTGACCCATACAATGTATTGTTGGCTATTGCTACAAATATACCCCAGCGACTTAAGACTGCTTTTGTGCTCCAGGGTCACAAATTAAGTGAAAGTTTGGGAATGCCTGCATTACATGTAAATAAGAAATAACGTGAATTTGTGCATTTTAACGTGTTTGAAAGACAAAAGCCCTCCAAAAGCATTGTAATAAATGGTTACCCCCTGTGATAATGTGATAATAACACAGAGTAATAATTCAAATAAACATGAATGTGTTCATCAGATGCAATGCTGACAGGCAGAGAAAACACTTTTTCAAACTGAAATGATTTTTGTAAATCCAGAGGTCAAGTGACTGGTCTGCGTGTGAATCTCCACAAAACTGGACGACTTTCTGAATGTTTATAAGCGGTAGATGATAAGATGAAAAAGAAAATGACGGAGAATCAATAAATAATGATTCATCTATTGCTGTTATATAATTATGTAATCAATGAGTATTTTACATGTAATATCTAATTACAAGTGGAATCTGATTACATAATCTAGATTACATGTAATCAGTTACCACCCAGCACTGCCTATATACATATGTAATAGTACACACACACATTCTTCAAGCAGTTCACTAGTTTGCAAATATGTATATTTTCAACATGCTGTCGCCACCTAGTTATCTAAATGAGTGTCTGCAAGAGGATTACAAATCTGGACATTTTGAGAGACTGGAGAAGAGATATGCTGATGAGTAATATCAGAATGAACTTTTACTTAATTGTAATGTTTTAATAAACCGATATGGCTAGGAACTATACTCTCATTCCGGCGTAATAATCAAGGAACTTTGCTGCCGTACCATGGGTGCAGCAGGCACAATGATATTACGCAGCGCCTCTAGGGGAGTTGGAAAATGAGCCTATTTTCAAAAATAGTGGAGTGTTCCTTTAATGAAAGCAACACAGGAGGTTGTTCAGTACTGTTTCCACTAGTGGGCATCGTCTCCCATTATACTCCACACAGTGATTCAGCCTTTCCTCTGTGCCTCATGTTTGATTTCAAACACCTATTATCACATTTTTGTCTAACTGCAGTTTTCAGTGAACCACTGACGTTTAGACTTGAATACATGAATCAATACTAATATTACAGTACATTCCCCTCTGTTCCTCTCGGTTTCTTTCTTGTTTTTTTTCTTTCTCTCGCACACGTTCCATTTCATCACACTCTCACTTTCTCGCATTAATTTACAGAAGGGGGACAAATTGTTCAGCAGCTCCTCGTTTTCTTAGTGTTTATTTTTTCTTTATGGTTTTATCATTATGATTAAATTCTCACAAGCCCTTTTACCATGGACCATTAATATTGTGTAATAGTGAATTACAATGGCATTCGGATGTATCCAGAAATAATGCACTTAATTGTCACATGCTGCGGGCAGATTATTGTCTCATTAGAGTGAAAGAAAATGAAATGCTTAGGACTATTAATATATTTATAATACCATTATATATATATATATATATATATATATATATATATTTACACTACAAAAGTTTGGGGTTGGTTCAAGATTTTCTAATGTTTCAGAAAGAAGTCTCCATGCTCAGCAATACTTCATTTATTTGATAAAAAATACAGTAAAAACTGTAATATTGTGAAATATTATGACTACAATTCAACATAACTGTTTTCTATTGTAATATATTATAAAATATCATTTACTCCTGTGCTTAAAGCTGCATTTCCAGTCTTCAGTGTCACATGATCCTTCAGAAATCATTCTAATATGCTGATTTGCTGCTCAAGAAACATTTCTGATTATTATCATCATCAATACTCTATGCAATATTTTCTCTTGATTTTGAGGTGAGGTGAGGTTCATCAGGTTTCCAGGTCGATTTGACACTCGCACTAAAGTAACTGACTGGATATCCAAGAGGAAAGCTGTTCGCTGCACAGGATTACATACTGTACGTAACTGTGGCATAATTTCAAATGATTTATTTAAACAAGCGTCACTTCATTTAATGTTGTGAAAACAGATCCTGAGCTTTGTTTGTTGTGTAGATTAGCTCACCTCAGACAGCTGCTTCAGCCAGACAGTTGCTTTCAGTGTATGGAGATTATTTACATCCTAATTTGTCGGCCGCCTGTGCTCTCTGCCCTCGGAGGAACAGAGGAATGTGGAAAATAACTTTACTGATGGTCAATTGTTAATCAGTGACTAATTCACTATTCACAGCTCATGAATGATGAATGCTGTGCATAATGCATAGTGTTTAGTGAGGGTACAGCAGCAGGAAGATCTGTACATGTTTCTGATGAGATAACACTGCGATAAACAGCACTTGTATGTAGTTAGCAGCAATGGTCACCCAGCTTGAATTCTTGTTGGTGGAGGCAAAGACTGTGTAGGTCTAATTCAAGCGTCACAACAAGGAAACAGTATAGTGGGTTTTGATGAGATCTCAGCGCTGAGGTTTTAAATCAGAAGAAACCAAAATATGTATTTATCTAGATGGCAGTTTTTAGATAAACTGTTTATGCACTTACTTGGCACATGAGGTTTTGTTTGATTAGTTTCCCCGGCTTGAGATCAATATGGATGATTGCGGCATAATTGTGTGAAATGAAGTGAACTGTGATGAATTTGGACTTTGGAAGCTGACTGGAGCTCAGTGGGTTGTTTTATTCCCATGGTGCGGTGGCTGTCATGGACACCGGCGCTGCTGTGTCTGATGTCAGTGTCAATGGCTGCACATGTTAGTGAGGCCATGGATTGAGTTCCCGCGCAGTGCTAGATGACCAGATTCTTTTTCAGCGCTGGGACAGTGATGTCATGGAGCTCTTGCTCCACGCCCTTAAACACACACACACACACACACACACACAAACACACACGTTGTGTTTTCATGTTTTATGGGGACATTCCATAGGCGTAATGGTTTTTATACTGTACAAACTGTATGTGCTATTGCCCTACACCAACCCTACCCCTAAACCTACCCCTTACAGGAAACTTTGTGCATTTTTACTTTCTCAAAAAAACTCATTCTGTATGATTTATAAGCTTGTTTCCTCATGGGGACCTCAAAAATGTCCCCACAAGGTCAAAATTTACTAGTATTACTATCCTTGTGGGGACATTTGGTCCCCATAATGATAAATACACCAGGTACACACACACACACACACACACACAGCATTTCATATGGGAGGACAAATGACAAAAAAAAAACACTTTATAATAATAACCATTATAATAACATGAACTAACCATAAAATGCATTTATAGTGGGTATCGATACCTTATAATTTGAATAACTGCAAGTAGTAATTCTGAATAATTGAGTTGTTAAATAATTCTACTTTAAAAGGATCAACACCCAATTCTGTGTGCTATGTGTTAAAATGCATAGCTAAATATTATATTATACTGTGGCTGGGCATGTTTATGAAAAGATCTAATGCATTAAAATGTGCATTATTATGAACGCCTTTATAATGCATTCAAGGAATAGTTCACCCAAAAATGAAAATTTGCTGAAAATTGTCACCCTCAGGTCATCCAAGATGTAGATGAGTTTGTTTCTTCATTGGAAAAAAT